GACTGCTGAGGTTCAAGAGGAAGCCAAAAGACCTCGATCGTAGGCGACTATACGATGGGAGGAGGGAATTGTCTGACTTCACAAGAACGTAGTTGAAAATTGAATCCCAATTCACATAGAACCAACACTAGTACTCTCAGCATAGCAATAAAAGTTGCAACAAGCAAAATTAATGGACAAATGATGTTAAAATAGTTGTCAAACGGCGGCAAGGACTGACTATACTATAGAGAAAATCGGATTACGCAAATGTTTAAGGGTTACTACTACAACTGCGAGCAGCCTTGGGCACTCCCAGGTACAGCAAAAAACTATCCCGCCGTACGCTATTGTCCAAATTCATGAAGAATTCTTCAGAGAAATACAACTTGAATGCAAAATGAATTCAACTTTAAAAGGAACTTTCAATCCAATTTAAGGGAACGTTAGTGTAGAGGATGCGGCTTAATGCGGTCTCTAATGTCCAATGCATAACGAGGACCAGTCCAGACGCCGTTAATCAAGACGCCACGCAAAAATGGTGGTGCATGCATGAAAAAATGCATCTGAGAAGGCGCTAGACACGAACAAACTCATACCTAGAGTTGCTTCAAACACAGTACACTGATGAGGCACCAGCCAATCGACAAATGAATGTTGCAATGGCGCCAAAAAATCAAAGAAATTGTGCATAGTGACTGCAGTAATCCCGATCTCAGTCAAAAGACTCAATACTTGCACCATCGAAATCCCAACCTATCCGACTGAATCTGAACGACTAAGTCAAGTGTATTTTAGCCACAGAGTGCCTATTTATCCTGATGTCCAAACGTACACCAAATTCTTTAATGTACGTATACTCTGAAGGGCAATGAACTTTGGAAAGCACAAAACTGCCCACTTACCTGGAAGGAGCACATAAGTGTTTCGTCTACTGACATCATCCCACCGGCGTTATCGAATTCGCCACAATAATTTGGTGCCGAAAAGAGGGTGACAAGGCGACGCTGAGCAAAGAACTCGTATCCATCTTCCACCACTTGATGAGCACGACAAATAAGATCGAGATCGTGACGATGCAGGAATTTTTCCACCACATCCACACCGAACACAAAGCTAACGCCTCTGTCATTCTCACCCCAACCTCGAGTCTCCTTGTCCGGGTCAGCCCATAGAATGTCACAGAGTAGACCTACAATCAGATACCAAAAGACTGGTCAGTGCAACTGAAGAAAACAACCACCGCCGCCAGGTGATCAGTTGACTTATCCACCGCCATGAAATTTGATTAGTGAATACCCCGTCAGGTCCGATACACACAAATTAAAACTTCGTTTTGAGAAGAAAGCATCAATTATTGTATCCCGAAAAGCTTCGAAAAAACTAGTTACCCTATTTTGTAATTAGACATTTACGACTCACTAAGATACCGTTATCGCCATTTAATCAGGTGACTGTTAGCAACTTCATTCCTTATAAAAGTTCTGCGGTCCCAGTTGAAGTGCTATTTTGAGCTCACTACCAGATACTATCGCGCTTTGGATACCCTCTAGACGCATTTTATGCAGACGTTCAATGCTGTAAGATCACGGGAGAGAACCATGTGAGGAAAATGGGTCTTTTTGACCACTGCAAATTAATTTGGTCTTCATAAAAGATGCAGAAATCGAACCCTTCTCAAAGCTTTTGTGAATACTTCTTATCTCAAAAAACTATTCAACTAGACAAACAAATACCTCATCCCCAAACAAACCATCCGCTAGTCTTAGCGAAACGCGGAAGGCAAGCAAGTATTGCTGGTCATTTTACACTTAACTGGCTGCATTAAAAAACTGAGAACCAAGGCAAAAAAATTGCATTGTTCAGTAAAAGAAAGCCCATCCAGAGGGCTGTACAGTAAATCAAGACCCGAAAAAGTAGATATCTTAATTTTACTCCCAATTACCCGACTGGCGTCCACAGAAAGGATGACTTAGAGACACAAACACTGACTCATAGTTGAAGGTTTTAAAGCATCGCGTTACGAGAGAATGTCGCGACACCTAATATTTAACCCACCCATTTCCAACTACCAATCCTCACATCATTTCGACCTTCAACTACGCCAGTCGAAGCTCCTACAACGAAAGCTGTAAAGTAAACCTTTCAAACCATCAAGGGGAGGAAAGATGACACGATTCCCAAATTAATCTGACTGATGGATTGAAATTAATCAGGAATTAGAACTCTGTGACCACAAGGATGGAAGTGACGGGTGCTTAAGGGAATTAAAATTGCACTCAAGACATTATTAGCTTGACTGTGAAAACCAGATCACAACGGAAGACCGAACTACCTCAGAGTGGAGCCACCAAAGTCAGTTACAGAACCATACTACCAAAAGCTAAGACACTGGTTGAACAAAAAAACCCACCCACCAATTGCCAAGTCTGCATCAAATATGCAGTTTACAAGGATAACCGTTTGCAATGTCATTAACATGTTTTAAAAAATATCAACACAACTTTAGAATCAACCACTCAGCATTTCAGCATCTAAGATGAAAAAAGGCATCTTAGGTTTAATCAACTTCAGCAATTGTGGAACATTATTTCAGTTAGCAGTCCTCATTCAAAAAAGTTCTCCAAGCAGAACAAAATGGGTAAAAAGGCACAAGAGA